AATTTGTTAATGAAAGGTGTATCGTATGAACACACAACCAAGTTAACTGAGAACTACCCATCCCAAGGTTAAAATTGTGGGTTTTTTGTAACGAAAGGAACTCCAACTTCTAGGCTCGAAGGGGGTAACGAGGGATTAACTTCCTTATTTCTCCAGTGTTTGGGAATTGAAACAATGCCTTACATCGTCAACAAGCTTTGATTGAAAGCATACTGACAGCAATTATGGGTATAACGTTTTCATCATCCTCCCTCCAATCTTAGCATATCAAAATTTTGGACAAGAAGTAAACATTCGAAAAATAAAGCATAAAGATGCAAATAAATGGACGGAAATGAATTGAATCAAAAGTCGCAATGCTTATTTCATTAATGAAAGTACAAACATAATTAAAAGCAAACAACTTAAACAAAATAAGGAAAGTGCAAACAACGAGAAACAAAAGGCCTAGTGACAAAACTTCATTTCTGATGTACTGGCAAGGGATTTTTCTGAACATCCGGATGACTGTCTGTAAAATCAAGTATTCCAGTTCTAACCAATTCACATACTCTAGCCTTTAATGCAAAACAATGCTCCAAGTCATGGCCTGGGGAACCCTCATGGGAAGCACAATGGAGATCAGCCCTAAATCCAGCCGGAGGATTAAGAGGAGGTGGTAAAGCCTTTGTAGTAATCAGTCCTTGCCGGACTAAGTCAGGATATAACTCTGTGTAAGTCATGAGAATAGGATCAAAGTGACTCCTATTCCGTGTCTGGTCTGATATCTGTGTCGAGGAATCAGCTTGACGACTCAAAGGTACACTAGAAGACGATAGGACCAAGAAGGAGAAACTGGGGGATAAATGCAATGCAAAAATGTGATGCTAATGCCATGCAATGGTCTCAAGAATTTCAACGGTCGATTGCAAACATTCCCTTTTAGGAAAGCGAGAAAAGCTGTTAGACTTTAAAATGTAGGACTTCTTGAATTTGCAAAGGACTTTTGAATTCCTTAAAACTAGAAATGATATGATGCTTTATGGATGCAAAGCACAAACGCACATAAGCAAACAAAGGTCCTAATTTTAGAGGAACAATGAATGGAGTCAAGGTCTACCCTTCCCAAAGTGGTGTGTACTATAGGTTAATTGTACCTGCAGAACAAGGGTTCTAAAAAGTGCCCAAAGTCATCAGCCCATCTTTTGGATATTATCAACTTCTCGACTGACTCAAGGGTCGATAATATTCTCAAGAGAACCTCGTTCGAGTGTAGTATCGCGTAGCAACCATTGTAGGACTACTCCCACATAGTTCCCGCACTACGTCCTAGATAAGGTCAAGATGGTGTAAAGGTACTACGGTTCCCAGTATCACAGACTCCAATCGATAACGGTAAAAGTTTTCACGACTACACTCGATCAACCGAACCATTTTCGAAAGTGTCTCAACTGAGCGGTGATTCTCGATTTAGCTTAGTCGGGACTCACTCCCTATAAGCCTCGTCGAATATATCAGCCATCCTATCATAAGGTCGCTCAAGTCCGGGTGTAGGACTTATCTCACAACACAGTAACTCCAAGTAAGGTACCCCAATATATACATACAAGTGAGCAAAATATATAATAAAACAAATATATAAAGAAAAATAAACAAAATAGGGATAACCCTCAATAGTTAGGACTCCCCAGTGAAGTCGCCATTTTCTATTGCGGTGAAATTTGGATGTCAAGCTATTGATTAACTTGAATCTTAATTCATTTACAACCGGTCTTTGATTTATCCGAAGGAAAGGTTAAAGAAAGGAAAAACCTAAAAGGGAGAGATCTAAGGTTCGGGGGTTGGTTAAATTTAGGGAAGGTATTAGCACCCTAAACTTCCGTAGTACTCTACGGGAACCTTTTGTTTATTTTTTTTATTTATTTCATTAATTATTTTGCTTTAGGGTATATAGAAAGGATTTAAAATTAAAAAAGACCTAGGGGTTAATTCTAAGTTTACTCGGCAAGACGTCGCATCTTGTGCCTACATATCCTTACGGGAATGGAATCAGAGTAACTGTAGTTCCCCTCAAAAGGGAGGTTAGAAACGTCTTGACTGTGGCCAAGGTTTGTTCAGAGACTCCCATCTCTATGTTAAAAAAAATGTTAATTAAAATTAAAATAGGGTTAAATTAGGGATTCCACGGCGGAAAACCTTAAAACAGAGTACGACGACTCTTTTGGCCTAACACTAGGATAAAAGCAATTTTGCCCACGGCGGGACACCTAGGCTAAACAGGGTTTGATTCATTAAAGGGGTAAGGCTATTGACTCAGCGGCCAAAAGGCTGGACCTAATCCTTCGGAAGGATAAAATTGTGAAAAATGTGAAAATATGACAAATCATTATATGGAGGAATAATTAAGGTACAGAAATAAGAAAAGTAATAAAGGCAGAGGGTATAAAGAAACAAAGAAACATTTCTGAAAACATGAAGAATATGAAAATATGTAATGACACTTAGAATGAAGTGAGGGAGGAAAATAGTGTGGGGCTGTGGCCACCACAAGCACATCTCAACCTCGAGCATGCAAATGAAATGCCAAAAGAAAGAAAAGTAATAAAAGGTACATAAAATGACACGACAAACATCAAACATCCTTACGAAAAGGTTTTAATTTTTTAATATTTTAATTATAAAAAAAGGTTTTAATTTTTTAATAAAAAATATTTAAGTTAAAATTATAAAAAAAATTAAGTTTAAATTATAAAAAAAAAGTTTTTGGGGGAAAAGTCTTTTCAGTTAAGGCTTTTCGTTTTTGGGAAAAGACTTTTCAGTTTTTTGGGAAAAGGCTTTTCAGTTTTTTTTTTGGGAAAAGGCTTTTAAGTTTTTTGGGAAAAGGCTTTTCAGTTTTTTGGGAACAAAAAGGTTTTTTTCTTCTTCGGAACAAAAAGGTTTTTCAGTTTTTTAAAAAAGGTCTTACTAAAAAAAAGGTTTTAATAATAAATAAAAAAAGTGTTTTGATTTTAAAAAAAAGGTTTTGTTAAAAAAGGGTTTTGATATTAAAATCTACGGACCTAAACACACATGGAGATTAACATGGCAAAATATGCACATAAACATGAAAAAGCAAAAGGTTTAGTAATTTAACGGACCTAAACACATTAACATGGCAAAATATGCACATAAACATGAAAAGGCAAAAGATTTAGTAATTTAACCTACGAAGCGGAGGTTTGCTTCGATAAATGTGAAAAAAGTTTGAATAAGGGAACACTGGAGAACTCCAATCCTTCTGACGAGTTGTGGGAACGACCGCTTTTCTTCTCTGGAGATCTCCTTTGTTTCTCCCTTTCTCTCTCCTCTTTTCTGAAGAAAACCTTCTGACCCCCTTTTTCAACAAGGCATATTTTTGTTATTTTTTTAATGAAAGATAGAAAAATTTAGAGTAAAAATAATAAAAAACAAAAAGTGACAAAGGTGAGATTCGAACTCTCAACCTCTCACACTCACAACTCCTTACACATGTCCTCTTGCCAATTATGCCATTTTTACTTTTTAGAAAAAAATACATGCCATATGATATTTACGTGCAAAAAGTCAAACAACTACACAAATTTGTTAGTAATTGATTAAATGCAATGAAATGCGACGACAAATTTTAGGGCAAAATTTGGGGTATTACATGGAGCTATGAACATGTTGATGAAAATGGAAAATATTTGTTTTTGTCTAGAGTTTTATTAGAAGACCTTTATGAATTTTATGTTTTTCCTGTTTCCATTGAAACTTGAATAATTTAATTTTTAGCTTGAGTTCAATTTTTCAAGCTAGCTAAATCATTTACTTGCTCTATGTAAACTTAAAATAATAAAAACGATGAAATTAATACAATGTATTAATTTTCTCCTTTTAACTTATTTTTTTTCCTATTTGCATTTTTTTTTGTTTCTTTTCTCTTTCAAAATTCATAAATATTAAGAAAATATTTAAAAGAGAATATTATAATATTAATGAAATTTAATTTATTGAAATATGATTGATAGTTATAATCTAAATTAAAATATTATTTTATTCTAAAGTCAGAAAAATTAAACATGTCATTTAGATATCTAAAAACACTTCGATGAGATAGTAATATTTTTTCCTTTTTAACTAGATATCTTGTGTTCAAACTTTGTTTGAAATTTCGTGACACAATTGATATTTTAAAACATTAAATTGGTTATCAAATATTCTACCATAGTTTTTAAATAATTTGAAAAAAAAAACATTGTTAATCACATAATATTCTATAAGTATTTCTATTATTTTCTTCAACATAGCATACTTGTTTTACAATAATATATATATTTTTATTATTTTTATTCTTGTTATAATAATAATGTTTGCATGCATTGCACGAGGAGCTCAACCATTAATCTTTCGTACATCATACAGCTCTTACCTTATACGTGTGAGCTTATTATCCTCATAAAAAATGTAATGTTGCATTGGTGGTTGATTGCATTAATGGGTATCAGGAGCTTATGAAATACTTTTTTTTTAATTGTTTTTAACACCTCTTAAACTTTTTTTGATATATTTAGGATGCTTTCGATTCTTTTTACCCAGAACTTCTCGTACTTTAAAATTATTTATAATTAAAATGATTTTCATCTTATTTTGATTAATTTCATGAGTCATCAAAAATATTATAGTATCTATAACAATATATATAAAGGCAATATTTGGTTTTTGGTGTATTTTTTTATACCAAATTTAAAGTTTATTTTAAAATATGTAACTTATACAATAACTTTCATTGAACTACTACTATCATCTTTCATATAACTCTCTACTAATAACTTTTCACATAACTTCCATGTAAAATTAATATTAAATAAAAATATATCATTTATATTTATATGTGTGCGATAAAAAAACAGACAGACGGCGCGTGCCCGTCTGGACGCTAGTTATATATAGAGTGCACATGTAACTCAAAAAACACAACCAATCTTTCCTTCACTCTTTCCTTCCTCCTCTTTGTTCTCATCATGAAACTTGCTTACTCCCTCACTCTTTCCTTTCTCCTCTTTGTTTTCATCACCAATCTTTCTATAGCTTTCTCAAATGATGATGTTGTGGAAGTACTGGACATAAACGGTGCACCCGTGATCGGAGGTAACGAATACCACATTGTCACTACCATCAATGGCATCGCCACACGTAGTGGATTAGAACTAGCAAGAACCAGAAATTCCAACTGTGATGTTAGTATCCTACAAAGTTATTACAAACCACATAGGATGAGAACATCTGTGACATTTACCAATTTAGTAAACAAATCTGAAAGAATCCTCACAAAAACACTACTTAACATTAATGTTGGTAACCTGCCCTATTGTGCTGATTCATCAGAATGGTTATTATATTTTGATTACAATATTTATCAAGCTTGTGTTGGTATTGGTGGTTATAAAAACTATAATAACTCGCCAATACTTACTGCCAAATTTGGTATTTGGAAGCATGGATTTGGTTATAAGTTTAAAGTTATCACGGCTGGATCTAGTACTTATTTAGACATTGGGAGGTTGTATCAACAAATTGGTGAAGGTGGACACCGTTTGTATATGGCTGGAGATGTAGAAGACCCTTATGAATTTATTTTGGTTCCTGCTTTCATAAAAACTGAAAAGTCTGTAGTTTGATTTCAGTTTATCTAGTTAGCTAGCTAGATCATGTTGTTGTTTTATGTAAGTTTAAAATAATAAAATAAATGAAATGAATACAGTGTATTTATTTCTTTTTTTAAATCTGTTTTGTTTGTGTTTGCATGTTTTTTTTTATTTCTCTTATTCTCTATTTTAAAATTTTAAATTTTAGAAAGAAAATATTTAAAAGAGAATATAAGATTTTAAACAATTTAATTTAATGAAATACGATTGATAGTTATAATTTAAATTAAAATATCATCTTATTCTATAGTCACAAGATATCGAAATATTAATTAGATACCCAGAATCACTTTGATAATTTTTTTTTATAATTTTGATTCAATAGTTAATAAGTCAAGCTTTCATAGAAGGAAACAAATTAGGGTTTTCACCATTAAATACATTGCTATAAAAGTCTCTAAATATTTTTGTAAATGATTAAAAATGAGTTTTAAGCAATTAAGTAAAATTCAAAACTTTTTTAATTAAAAAAATAAAATCAAATGATTATTTATTTGTCTCTATTTTTTTGTTGTTGATATTTTGACAAAAAACAACAAAAATAAAAGAAATTAAAATGAATAAAAATCGAGCTTAAAAATATTAAAAAAAGTAAAATGAATGCATTGAAATAATTTATGCAAAATATACTTCCGTAAAACAGACAGATAAAGATCAAATTTCATAGTAAAAAATTTCCAATTGAAAAATTTTAAACCAATCAAAATTCAACCACAAACACGATTAAAAAAATTAAACAATGCAAATTGTATATTTAATAAATAGTATTTTTTTTTTCATTTGAAGTTTTTATAAAATGTTTTTCAATAAATTTTATTAAACAAAATAATATAATACTATAAATATATATATTTATTAAAAGCGAAAATAAATGTGCCTTATATTAATGAAATGCAACTTATTACAAATATCTGTTTTTTTTTTTTCCTTTGACAGCACAAATATCTGTTAGAAACTACATTGAAAGCATTCTAAATAGTTTGGTCTTGCAAATTTGTGTCGATATTTAGTGTTTATAATTGTCTTTAGTGTTAGGAAATATATCAAATAAATTTACCAGAAGTGTTAAAAATTGGAAAAAAAAATATGCATCATAACCTATTGTCCACACTTTTTAACTTTATTTCCTAAACATGAACACCGTAGTACTCTTTGTAACTTTAATGTTTTTAAGAGATCAATAAATAGTTAAAATAAATTATTTAATGAAAAAGAAGGATTGATTTAGAGTGAAATAAAAAAAGTTATCAAAATTACTAACGCCAAAGTCACTTGATATCCATTAATGCAACCACCAATACAACAGTGTATTCTTTTATGAGATGGTTACTCATGCACATGCAGCAACAAACACAACAGTGCATTCTTTTATGATGTTTGTACGTATAAGGTAAGAGCTGTATGCTGTAAGAAAGATTAATGATAGAACTCCTCGTAGAATGCATGCAAACATTATTATAATAAGAATAAAATTAATAAAATAAAATATTATTGCAAACTAAGTATACTATGTTGAAAAAAAATGACACAACTACTTATAGAATTTCATTTCCACCGTTGCAATTCTCTCTTCCGACGGTGGCAAAATCAGTTACTGATAAGTCGTCGAATTTTAATCAGGCTTTTTCAGAAGGGTCTATAGTGTGTTGTTAGAAAATGTCATATTTTGATTTAAGACAAAGCAATCAGAGATTTTTGGCGAAGAATAATAATGAGGTGGCAGAGAAAATTTGGGATTTCAATAAAGAGATAGGTGTAGTTGGAAATAAAGAAGATGAGGTATATGTTGGTCTGATTAGATCCATGGAGACCAAAGACAAGGAGGAGAAAGTCAAGAGGGTGACGAAAATTAAGGGTTTCCAATGATTGTGGTTTCTTTTAATGTGTGACGGTGTGGTAAGGTGTCGCTACTGCGAAAAAAGGTGCCGACAATGATAGAAGAGTCGCCACTGTTCGTTATTTATTCCATCAGATGGAAAGGAAACGATCAGAGAAAACCTGCGAAAATGGGATAAGATTGGTCATCGCAACCAAATCTCGGGTTTGGGAGTCGGTTACGCAAGGGGAAGGTATTAGCACCCCTCACGTCCGTCGTACTCGACGGGATCCACACTTGTTTGTCTACCTATAGAGTGATTGAAACTATCTACACTAAAGGTCTCAGGGACAAAAGAAAAATGACTCGGCAGAGCATCGGCGCTCTGTGTATACGTATTCCCTCGTGCAATGGGAAAGTCAGAGTCAATGTAGTTCGACTAACTACGGATAAAAGCGGGGAAAGGTTGCTTGCCAAGACATCGTGTCTCGTGCCTACGTATTCTCATCTGGTATGAGAAATCAGAGCAAACGTAGTTCGGGAAAATAAGAACATCGGTTGGTTCAAAGGTTTTTATCCAAGTAGGGTTAACAAATAGTTCTAGTAGCTAGGCGTATGCAGCTCGACCATTGGAGACTTAGGCATTACCTGTTTGCAGTAGAACTAAGAGTTAACGAAACTCTCTTTTATGAAAAGGTTTTCCATTATTAAGGGTCCCAAAGGACAAAATGAATTTTGATCATTTGTTTTTTTGTTTTTTAAGGAGAAGTGTTTTGACTTGCTTGTAATTCATATTGCACTAGAGACTATGACTTGGGAGCGAATGCGTCGCACATCACCCAAAGGGTGAACACTAAACACTCTAGGCCATCAAGAGGAAATCCCTCAATCACCATTTCCCAAGTACTTAAGGCTCATAGCATACGATTCATTAGCCTTTATTAAGTATTTTGAAGTTGTTTTGAGATGAGAAAGAGAGAGGACAAACTAAAGGGAACTAGTTCAAACCTAGTAGTTGTCATGCAAGATAAACCTATAGTTGAGGTTAAAGGGAATCTACTTAATGTTCTCATACATGGTTTGAAACCTAGTGTCTATCACAATCATCCTTAAACAAGGAGATTGGAAGTTTGAAACCTAGTGTCTATCACAATCATCCTTAAACAAGGAGATTGGAAGTCCTAAGGAAGCATGGTAAGAAAAGAGAAGAAGAGAACATGATATAAGACATGAAATAGGAATGAAGGAATGCATATGCAATGCAACACACAAGCAAAGGGAGGAAAATTTGTGGGGTGAACACCTCCACAAGCACATCTCAACCTTTATTAATGCAAGTAAGAAATTCACAAAGGGAAAATAACACACAAGCAAAGGGAGGAAAAAGTGTGGGGTGAACACCTTCACAAGCACATCTCAACCTTTATTAATGCATAAGGGAAGAAAAGAAGGGAAAGCTTAGAACATGCATACCTCAATCCTAATGTACAAAATCATACAACATGAAAGGGAAAGAAAGATAGGATTGAATGAGATGATGGGAGGCAAAGTGAGAACCAAGGGAACTCACAAGGGCTACTCAACCAAACATACTACATTCAATATGCACACAAATTACACAAATGGTCCTCAAAGGCTCATTACTTATGGCATGCCTTAAGTTCCTCCAAAGGAGGGACCAAGCTTCCATAAGTAGGATCCTAAAGTCCTAGGATAGAAAGAGATGAAGATAAAGTGTACACAAAAGGAAGGAAACAAAACATGTAAAAGAATGCAAGTGGTTCATGACAAAAGAGTGTAAACAATCTCATACATGCACATATGGAACCCTAAAAAATAGGTCAAAAGAAGTACAAACTTTAACAAGTTGCAAACTAAACTAGGGTCTAAAATTCAACATACAAACACCTTAATATTCCTATAACATGGATTCACAAGAATTAGAGGCTCAAACAATGCACACAAACCAATTAGAATACAAACTAGCTCATGTATTATGGTAAACATCATGCAAGGATGACCTAAAATGAAAAATACACCAAAAATAGCAAACATATCCAAAAAATGCCAAATAAAATCCTAGATGACAGTGTTGGAAACCAGGGTTCAAAAGTGTGGAGACTAAGTCCAAACTTAACTATGCAAACAGAGGATAAACTCTAAGGGATACCCTAAAAGCAAGGGTAAATCGAGGGTCATAAAAACTAGCCTAAAACCCTAACCAATTATCAATAAAACCAGGGGTAAAAATGTCCAAAAAACATCTAACATGTCAAGAATATGCTAAAGAAAAATCATCCATTAACATGAAGAATTCATCACAAAATAAAATCAAGAACATGGGATGTACGATTTCAATCCAATTAAAATACCTCAAAAGTAAAAATCAAGATTTAATTGGAAAATGACTTAAAAAATTAATAAAAAAATTTGTAAAATCACCTAACACCCTAAAATATGTAAAAAGTATTTTTGGGGATTTTTATCATTAATTGAGGTATTTTAATGGAATTAAAATTGAAACAGGAAAATAAAATGAAAAAGAAATAAAGAAAAAGAAAATGGAAAAACATGCGTGGCATTTAGCAAATATATCCAGTTCATTTCCATGGGCCATAGAGAAGTGGGGTGTAAATATCAGATATGGCCCAAGTCCAAGACAATTTAGAGTGGGGATGAAACTCCGCGTTTCATTAATGACGTGGCCTGGTCAATTAGTCAAAGGCATTAGAATTAGATCCAAGTCGTTGGTTTAGGGATAGGTCAAAGAGTCCAAGGGGTGAGTTGGCATTACACGCTGGCAATCTGATCAAAACACAGACACTGGAGAAGACGAGCCAGACGGTGGTTCTGGTTTCTGTGGTCATCTTCAACCTCAAGCACGCTACAATAACTTCCTTTAAACCTAACCAAAACGCCTAAAATTTGAGTCTAAACTCATCCTCTCCTCACGAAGGTTAAGAATCTATGGTTCAAACTAATTAATCATTCCTAAATCGTGTAATACGAATCAACCAAGTTTTGAGAAATATCTAAGAATCATCAAGAATAATAATCAAACCAATCCAGAAATGATCTATGATGTTAGGGGTTCAAGAATCCATGAAAATGGCATGTGATTGATGCATGAACAGAGAGAAATCGTGAATGATAACTT